GGTCAAAAAAATATAAAAAAGGTCAAGGTCACTAAAGATGATGAAATTCCAGATTTTTTTTAAAAAAAATTTAATAAAAGGGGGACAAAAAAAGTTATTATTTTGTTAAAGGGATTCCCCCAATTACCCCCCTTGAATTTCCTTTCATTTAAAAAATTCTAAAAAATAAATTTAATCAAAAGGGCATAAAAATAATCCTCTTTTTTGGACTTGAGTATCGTTCTAAAGAATGTTAACATTTATTTAACACATGTTTCCCAATTCATTGGTCAAGATTCTTAACTGTGAATAACTATGGTGTTCTGTAGACTTGGTATTTGTTCCTAAAGATCATACAGTAAATTACCTTATCAAATGTAAATATTTCTCATAGAAATTTAATTATATTTTTAATTTTCAAGTAAATATCAGTTCAGCTCTCCTACATGTATGGAGGGAAATTTTCATGAAACTTCATAGAAATGGTTCACCACTATGAGGAGCAGTGGTCGCGCACCAAATGAAACCAGGTCTCTAGATCAAGAGGTCATAGGTCACACTTGGAGCTCATTTGAAAAAATGCTTGTCCGGAGCAAAACTTTTCCCATGTTATAAGGGTTTTTCCTTTTTAAAATTGGAAACAAATGTTCCCCCCAATTGTGGGGCCGGTGTCGCGCGCAATTCAGGTCCTTGCGGCCAAGCCCAAAAGGGTCACACATAAAAGGAAAAATTTTTTTAGAAAAAAAAATATGAAAAAATGTGTAAAAGGGGACAAATTTAATAAATCATTTTTTTGGGGGGTTTTGGTAACAAAAAGGGTCATTATCAATGAAAAAAAGGGCTGTGACACATGTATTTAGGTAAAATTATGAAAGGTAAGGGGCCCAACAAAAAGAGGGAAATCCAGTTTTTGGTCGGGAAAGAAAATATCCCCACATTTTGGGAAAAATTTTTTATAAACTTTAAAGGGGCTTTTTCCACCAATGAAATGTTTTCCCCCAATGCATAAATTCCGGGGTAAAAGGGTCAAGGCCCAAACTTAGAGCTCATTAAAAAACGTTGTCCGGAGAAAAAATTTCCCAAAAACTTTCCCTTTTAGGGGGGTTTCAATAAAAATTTGGCCCAAAAAAAATGTTTCCAAAAATTGTGAGGCTGAGTGCCCCGCATGAAAATTCCCAAAATCCCTGCGCCCAAAAGGTCAATGTTACCCCTGATCAAAGTTAAAGAAAAAAATTTGGGAAGATGGGGTAAAGGGACCATTTATAAATAAATTTTTGATGGATTGAAAGGGCCCCAATGGTAATTATAAAATGATACGGGGGTGACCCCAATTTAAATTTAGGTTAATATTTGCAAGGTCAAGGGTAAACTGGAGAAAAATTAAAATTACCCAAAGGATTTTTGCCCCGAGAAATTTTTTCCTACACTGGGGGGAATTTTTTTAATTTACTTTTAAAATTTTTTCACCCCCCCATGAGACGAAAGTGCCCTGCACTGAAAACAGCCCTTGGGTAAAAAGGTAAAGGGTTTCAAAGTTAGGCTCATAAAAAAAAAACGCTTGTCTGGAGCAAAATTTTCAAATGCAAAAAGGGGAAATTTCAAATCTAATTTTGGCCCCCAAATGTTTCCCTTTCATTTGTGAGGGAGTGCCGTGCTAAAATTAAAGGTCCCTGCGCCCAAAAGGGTCAAGGTCACAATCCTGGCATATTTTCCCCCTTACGTTTTTTGGTTTTTTTTAAGGGGTTCTTTTAAAACAAAAGTAAAAAGGGAAAAAAAAAATTGCTTGCTTGTTTAACATTCCATAATGGCCCCCATTCCTTTAAAAAAGCTTTCGAAAACGGGCGTATTTTTGGCTATGGAAACCCTTGTTGTTTTTTAAAGGGAAAAAAGGAGGGAAAAAAGGGAAAAAAGTAAGTATACTTTATTTTTAAAGCTAAATAAGGGGGTTAAAAAAAATATCTTTTTTTTTTATTTTTTGTTTAGTTTTTTTTTTTTTTTTTGTTTTTTTTGAAAAATGAGGGCGGGGGTTGTTTTAAAGAAAATCAAATTTTATAAACCCTTTTTAAATTGTCCCATTTTGTATAAAAAATAGTAGCTACAAAAGGGTTAACTATGAAAAAATTAAATTTGCAAATTTAAATTTGAAAAAAACTTTTTCAAGCGTTAAATTTTTTTCCCAAATTTTTTCCCCAAAGAAATTTTAATAAAACGAGTGATTTTAATTTTGGGCAGGGTTCCCGGAAGTTTAGTAGGGGTGCTTATGGGAAAACCTACTTGGGTTTAAAACCAGTAAAATTCATAAAAAAATAAAATTTGATTTTTCAGCCATGGGATAAATAAAACCCCTTTAAACCCAAACTGAAAATGCTTCAGAAAATTCATAAATATGATCAGAAATAAACTGAAAACGTTATTTTGTGGTAATTTTATCTCGATCTGAGTGAAAAGCTTTGGGAAAAACCCTTTTCAGTTTGAGTAAATTTTCCCACAGTAAGAAAAATTATTCGGGGTTAAAAAAGGGGTGTGAGGGGAATGATTGTGTTTTGGCAAAAGTGTTTTTTTAGTCTAGCCCTTTCAACAAATAAAAAACTTTTATCTTGAAAAAAATTTTTTTCAGCCCCGTCATGTAAAAAACCTGGGTTTGGAGCCCCCCTTTAAAAAGTTTAAAAATAAAGTAAATTGTCGCCCTTTGGCAGAGCTTTCCCGGGAGACAACTAAAAAGAAAAATAGTTTAACACCACAAAAGGAAATTTCTTTCATTAGAAAAAAAAAATTTCCCAAAGTCTGGGAAAAAGGGAAGAAAAATTTAAAGCACAGTCCCCTTCTTTTTTTCCCCAAAAACCGAGCCTGCGGAAAATTTGTTTACATATTTTGCAAAAACAATAGTGGCGACACTTCTTCCTGTCAGAACAAAAACCGCGGGTCCCGAAAACGCACGAAGAAATTTTTTTTGCATCGTGGTTTTTTTAAGGAAAGTCTTAAAAATGTTGTTTTTTGCAAAAATATTTCGCAGCCGTGTTAAAAAACGATACACAAAAGTTTAAAGCCCCAAGGGGGGGAGGAATATTTTTTACGTATTTAGGTACTGCAAAATTAATATCAAGCTTTTCGTACATGGCCGAGTTGTAGAAGTCGTTGTCTTCAAACCACTTGCCCCTCACCACTGTTGGTTCGAATCCCGCCAGGGATTTAGGAGTCCTTTATGTGGGGCTTAGTGACATCGGGTACCCGCTCGTGCCTTAAATATGCACCAAGGGATACCCGGGGTCTTCCGTCACCAGTAAAGCTGGTGCAAAGTTAACCAGCCCGACTCCGAAAAAAATAAGGTTAAGCTTTTCCGACTTTTGTAGATAATAAATGTGGTCAACAACAAATAACAACAACAACAACAACAACATTTATTTAGCAATTAAGCATTACAATGCTTTTAGCCATAATATACATTTGACATAAGGTGACAAATGACACGAGAAATCATTAGCAATCAAATATTTTCTGCATAGAGAAGCTTACACAATAAATAAACTAGTTTGACATAGGTAAATTTAAATCGATACCAATATAATAATTATCAAATTTCTAAACTATTCCTTAATTTATTTGAAAAAAATATATATTTTGATAAGTTTAACAATTGTCTTTCATTATCTGTGGACATCAGTCTATCGAATTTATTAAGAGTTGGCCACCTACAAAAATATGGTTTGAAGTATTTTTTCCTTATTTCTCGATATATTGGGCAGACAAGAAGAAAATGATACTCATCTTCAATTATATTATCTTGGTTGCAAAATTTACATATTCTATTAGTTCGTTCTATATTAAGATATCTACCTCTTTCTATTTCTAATTATGCGAAGATAATCTAAATCTACTTCAGGCAATCCGAAATTTCCTTTCACTTATTGAATTCAAATATGTTTTCAAAGTTAAAAGATTGTTTAAACCTACAGTAAGTAAGTAAACGTTGTGAATTGTTTATGTTTGCATACCAACCTTGATAATAATTATCTAATATCCTTTGTTTAAATTTCTAAAAATGTAAAATTTCCATTATCTTGATTTATCCATATATTTGAAAGTCCTAGATTGTTTAACATTGTTTTTATATGAAAGGCCCAATTTGAATTATTGTATGTTATATTATTATTGGCATCATTCTTAAGCATGATATAAATTTGTTTTTGCAAAGAGTTGTCTGATTTCAGTAAATGGATCCAATATCTTATCATATTTATTTTTCTAAAAATAATCATAGGAACTCTCCCTAATTCTCCGTAGAGACCAGTAGTATTAGTTGATTTATTAACATATAAAAGTTTTCGACAGAATTTTGTATGAATAAGTTCTATATCTGTTCCTGCATTCATTCCCCAGACTTCTGAACAGTAGTTTAGTACAGTAGCAACTAGCGAATCAAACAATTTACTTAAAAATAACAAATCGTATTTGTTTCAACATGAAATTAACCTATAAAGATGATATGTCGTTGAGTTAATAAAGAGGCAGATAACTCAAACATAAGAATGGGGTGCTCAAATAAGTTAATTCCTTCCCTTTAATCATATAAACTTCCATGTTCTATATAGACTATTGTTTAAATATTCATTGAACATGCAATACTAAGGAAATGTTTGTAACGGTATAAAGTGTAAACGATAATCGATTTTTGTTCTTGTTTGAAGTGTTATAAATGTTCGAGTACGTTTTTAAGGGATCTATTGTTAAGGAAAATAAGATTTATCTATCATCTGTTGCTCATTTTATTCATGAAAAAATATAACACAAATTAACAAATTAGACCACTTGGAAATGGTTTCATAATGTTTTCCTCCACTTCTTACATAAACATTTACATAAAAAGTAACTGAATTCAGACCTAATATTTTCAGTTCTCAATACAATCAGTTTTCAAGTATCATTTGTTGTGGCGATGGTTTCCTCTTTCATCACTTCGCGGTTTTTCAGATGAATAACACAAGGAAAGTAAAAGACGCTAACACTTTTTCCAAGTTATTTAATAATATCATTTATTATATTCAGTGTTAAATATACTAGTCGGTTAACTTGACGTTTCATTTCTTACTGCTGCAAGCGAGTCTCTGTGAGGAATATTTGCTAGAAAGACAGGTATGAAAATTATCGTAACAAATTTCATTTTAATGCAAAACATATACATGTATATGTAATATATTTATTGTTTACGGGCAGGTTGTTATTTTTTTGTTTGTTTTTTTTGGTGCGGTGCGGTGCAAGTCTGTTTTAGATATGAAACGAAAACATTATTAATAAAATAAACTTCATTCAATGTCTTATTTTAGTAATTAGATAAATCCGTAAATGTTTCGCTACCGGCAATTTAAAAAAAAAATGAGGAGGCCTTATCAAATATAGAGTCTGATAATGGTTATTTTAACAGGCAATTTTTTGTGAAAATAAAAAGAATTAACAGTTGGTTGAACAAGAAATATACTTGGTAAGTTAATTAATTATTTTCATATTCTTATGATCCCGCGATTTATGAGGAGAATAGAAGAGAAAAAAGATTTTAGAACTTTAGAACTCGTTATTGAAGGTAGTTTTACAATATCCCGACCAAGCCCCATCCTATAATGAAAAATTAAGGGGGGATTAAGGGGGGGGGGGAGAGAAAAAAAAAGACACTGAATTTACTTGTTATATTTTAAGATATTAGACATCTCACATATTACCAGGGATGGAATGAAAATTTCTTAGATCTTTGTGTTATGAACACAGAAATGTTATGACAATTTTTTTCAAAAAATACCCCAGAGAAAAAAAATAATCTGCCATTTTGACAATATTGAATTTAATAGGTAAGGCTGTGATAAATTGCAGAATTTTTACGGTTGACAACATTTTCACTTATCGGAACAGTTTACTCAGTTTTCATAAATTTTATACAAATCTGGAAGCCTGACACTTTAACCCTTTCCCTCATGAGCATATTTTGAAAAATGGCCGTTTTCATTGAAAAGACTCCTGTTACAAGCTCAAACTGCTATGAAACTATAAAAAATACTTCAATACTAATCAAACTTGGCACAAATGTTGACTGGACCATTGCCTTTGTAACGACATGCTCAGTCTTAAATTTCCTGTTACCATGGCAACGAGGGGACATCTCAAAATTGCCAAAAATCACTATTTTGCCTGGATTTTTCCCATCAAAATTTATTTCAAAGTGCTGCAACTTCTCGAGGGATTGAGAAAGAATCAAAGGCTTTTCAGCGTTGGATACACGTTACCTTATGATCGACCTGGGGTCATTTTTAGCCTCTCACAAGTCCAAAATTTTCTTGGCGATGAGGAGGACTATCGCCCCCTTCAAACCCCCCAAACAGAAGAGGGCGCATCCCCTTTCTGGCAACCCCCTGATGTATCTTTTGGATGGGGGGGGGGGGGGGGGGGGCGCCGAAAGTGTGCTCACTTTTTTAAGCAACATTTCTCAAACGAAAACATATGTTTTGGGCCCAGATAGGACATTTTTTCACTACCTGAGGCCTAAATGAGGGGGTGGGATCGAAAGTGCGTTGTTTCGCGTATATATGAGGTAAAGGGTTAAGGGAAAATGCCACCGATTGGATTTTTTACAATGGCAAAGTGAAACAAATTAATGAAACAAATGGGGGCACCATCCTACTTTTATAATAATCTGCCCCCCCCCCCCGACAGTGAAGTTTTACACTTTTAGGTCTCTTTAGGAGCAGATAGCATGCCGATACTATTTCTGATTTTTGTTACTCACAATTTTAGTCATTAATTTTGCAAAGTTTAAAACAGTTGTTTCTAAGAAATATTTTGTTATGCTTCAATGTGTAAGCATACCGCATTTTCTTCAAATAAGGACGCTAGTTTAAATTTCCTTCTTTGAGTTTGAAAAAAAAATCTCATTAATGGCCTACTTACCATCTTAAGTTATGAATACAGAAACTTTCCGTTGCGATTCCTGTTTCCTTGTGACGGTCATTTAATTTACAGTCTTGCTACCGGTAATAACTGTCGCCAGTTTAACACTATCTCCATCATTAAGGAAGAAAACAAATCAAGAGACAAAAAGTACCGAAATTATATGTAACATGATATCATGTAACACGGAAATAACACATTTTAGCCATGTTCTAAACAATGTGATTGTAAAGACGGTATATACATGTTCTTAACAGTGTACTTTTAAGTACATTTCATATAGAAAATGTAGTTTTAAACAAATTACATACTGGACAATGTGATTTTAAACAAAATGCATACTAGAAAATGCGATTTCAAACAAATAACATACGGGACAATGCGATTTTAAACATTTGACATATTAGAAAAAGCGATTTTAAACAAATTTCTTACTGGACAATGCGAGTTTAAACAAATTGCATACTGGACAATGCGATTTTAAACAAATAACATACTAACATACTAGACAGTGCGATTTTAAACAAATAACACACTGGACAATGCGATTTTAATCAAATAACATACTGGACAATGTGATTTTAAACAAATTATATACTAGACAATGCGTTTTTAATTAAACAAATTATATACTAAAAGGAAATGAAAGTGAAGGCACAATGGCAGCTTCGAATGAAAAAAGGATAACGGAAACTGACCAACTTTGTATTGAATGTTTGCTGGGGGAAAACAGATTGACAGTCAATGGGGGCATTGTGTGTCCGAGATGCAATAAGGTAAGACTTTGTGAAAGCAAAATTAGATTTTACCTATATATTTTCTGACCACTAAGATGTACATGTTTCCGATGATTAACAGTGATAATGGGAGATATATACACTTAGTATTATACCATAACTGCTTAAACATGTGTGCATAAAAAAATGATGGTTTTGTGGTTCGGGCCTTCAACCCAGTGACGGTGAGTTCTCGAAATTGAGACGGACTGACTGACGGAAAGAACGGTTGATGCAAATACTGTAAATTATAACGATAAAGATAAATTAAAGAATTGTGATGATGATGTCATAGATGCATGTATGTATGTTATCTAAAAACAATGGTTTTCACCTAATTAACACTTTCATCTTTTAGTTACAAATGTAAGTACAATTTTAACCTTCTTTTATAATTGAAAGGAGTGTTGTGTCAGATGTTTTGGTGTGGACTTTGAGCGAGAATTTCCCTATGGCGATGAACACCCTCCGAGATATTGTTTGACCTGTGAACAAGATGTTGTTAAAACAAGTATGATTTATCCGTTTTCTTTCATTATGTGATATCTGAAATGTATTTTCTACGTTGCAGTCTACAACTCGTTGCCTCATTGTTATTTGCTGGGATTTGTTTCTGGCATAACATTTGGTACTTGCCTTTTGCTACTTGCCACCTGTCACTTGTTAAATGATTAAAAAATTAAGAAAACACTTTAACAATTCATGTTGTAGAACTGATTTAAACACTTCTTATTTATTTTTCTGACTCTTATCTAATGCTTTTCAGGTACAAATATTTTGCATTTTACGGCGTTTGCTCACAGTTCTTCAAAGTTGTTGTTGTTTAACATTTTTGTACAAACAAACAAAAACAATGAACGAAATTAGATGTCTCAAAACTTTATTCATTTAATTTAAGTGTAAATTCATGTAATGATGATAATAAGAAAAATAAAAACGAAAAACGTAAAACAACGAGATCAAGCGGATCGAAAAGTCGAGGAATGGAATCAGTCTGTATTTTGTTAATTGTCTAACGGTCGAGGTGATACCTTAAAAAGTAGCAGGTGCTATAAAGTGGCATGTAGCAAATGACATGTGACAAAAGGTAGCAAATGACATTTAGCAAATGGCATATATATATAGCAAACTGTATGTTTTGACGGGCATTCCATTCATGGAAAAATAATTACAATTCGTGTGATGATGATGATAATAATAAGAATAAACGGAGAGGCAACGCAGCCTTAATTGTTTGTAGATCAAGCTAATCGAAATGAAAAGTAATAAATGCTAAGCGGCGTAGAGCAAATAGTAAATGGCAAATAGCAAGTGGTAAGTAGTAAATGGCATGATTCAAGTAGCAGATGCCAAGTGGCATGTCGTGACCGGCTTTTCACATTTTTATCAGTACATCGCTGAAGTTATAAGAAGTTAACACCACAATGGTGACTATATATTCGAACTTTTGCGTTTGCGTAACCGATATATGTGAATATTTATGGTGTTTTCCTTTAGGGCTATCGCGTTTTCTCTTAGATCAAAAATCGCGAAGTGCGATGATGACAGTACGCGACAATACGATGGCGATGTGCGACAGTACGATGGTGACAATACGAAAGTGACAGTACGATGATGAAGCTTGACAGTACGACGGTGACAGTCCGATGGTAACAATACGCCATCGTACTGTCGTACAATTATTGTCATCACCGTACTGTCACGCTTTGCCATTGTACTGTTGTACTGTCACCATTGTACTGTCGTTACTCGCGCGTTTTCGTTTTCTAAAAAATGATCAACATGTATCATGGAGGAAGTGTTACACGAGGGATTGAGTTCTTATGATAACTTGTCAAGGAGTTCTTGTGATAACTGTCACAGAGTTTGTGGGTAAAAAAGTGTATATACTCCTAAAACACTCATCAAAATGGTAATTTTCATCTTTAAAATGTGAGTTTTAGGTGCTAAATTAAACTTTAATGATTAAACCTGCTTTACATACTGTATTATGTGTCAAAAGCTAATTCATAGCCCAAGAAACTAATTGGCAGTAACAAAAGTTATCATAAGAACTCCATCACATATTTTGAGTTAACACAAAAACTCCAGGACATTTGAAAAATCGGGTATAAATTTGTTAGCCAGGGCTTTATTTTTGCAATTTTGTATTATCATTATGTATGGCAATGATGAAGACTTGAAATAAACAGGTCAATACTTGCGAATTGGCAAATAAATTGAAATTTGTACTCAAAACTACCAGGTTTTAAGCAAGAGGCGATGAAAAATGGACTATGAATTAGTTTTTGACACATAATACAATATGTAAGGCAATCTTAATCATCAAAGTTTAATTTAGCACCTAAAACTCACTTTTTAAAGATGAAAATTACCATTTTTTGACGAGTGTTTTTGCGGTATATACAATAGTTTTCCGACGAACTCCGTGACAGTTATCACAAGAACTCCTTAACAAGTAATCATAAGAACTCAATCCCTCGTGTAACACTTCCTCCCCCGTGTGTATGTAAAACCTACTTTATTTGTAAATTACAGGAAGGAAGTATGCTCTTAATAACAAAATAGAAAAATGTGACGAAATGTTTTCCGTTTCTCCATCAACTAAACATTCAACAAATAAAAAGAATAACGTCTACACAGGAAAAGATAATTTCATCAGTGCTCTTTCACCTTTCTTACAAGGAAAGACAAGGAATTTGCCGAACAGATTTTCCGACAGAAATAATGGAAAAAGAATGGTTTTATGTTCAAAATCATGCATACCTACTGACCAAGACAATAGATATTCCATTTCTTCGCAACCTATATCAGTTGAACCATCGCGAGAAACTTGCTTGAATCACAATAACTTTGAAAAATTGCCTTTTTCAAAATCATTTAGGAAAATAAGTCCCAATGACATATTAGATCAGCGACAGTTGTCATTGACTAAAGACAAAAAAACCCATGTAAGTCATTGTATGTATGAAAATACACAAGAAGACGGCGTAAATCTGAAATATTACAAATTCTATAACGAAACAATAACATACCCGAGTTCGTCTGAAGTTTGTTTTCAAAACAATGGCCAAGAACAAACCGTTTATGACCATGGAGATTTAATACATGGCAATCAATTATTACCTCAGAGGAATTCGATAAATTGCTTAAAACAAAACGCAAACGTAGATGATGAAGAGGTCGACAATCCAGATTGTCCGTTTAACGACGAAATCCCGTATGCTCTTATATTAACCGGAAAAGTTGATGAAGAAGTTTTAAGAGCGAAACAAAAGAAGACGCAACAACAGGCGTTTAACAAGATGAAAGAACGACCAGGCAAATTGCTGCTATGCACAGATGTTATAGAGACTAAAATTGACAGCAAAAGTCAGTCACAGGAGAAAAACAATTCAAAAATCCTGTCAGCCAAATTTCAACCCAATGTCCCATTTATGGCAAATAATGCTCAAAAGTGCGATACCAACTGCAAAGAAACAACTACAGACAACTGTAGAAAACCCGATCCTAATGATACACATGACTCCGAGCCGATAATAATGAAAGTACTAAGACAGCAGGCAAAAATAAAGAAGATGAAAGATTCTCGTGAACCGCAGTTTCAGGCACACCGAAATTCAAACACTGCAGCAAATATACAACCTGTTGCTATGGAATTCATTCGACGAAATAGAATATTAAAGAAGAAAGCAGAAAGACAAAGCGATCCGCTGTGCAATATCTCTTGTCCATTTGATAACGAATTTTTTAGCATATTTCAAAACAACACGGATAAACATTCGGATACAGGTACTGTTTTACCTACCAATACTAATAGATCAACTGATTCTTCTCAACCAAAAGGGTTGAACAAAATTAACAAAAATATGTTTCCAAATACACCAAAAAGAGGAGAGCGATATGAAACGAAACATAAAATAAAAGAACAAAAAAAAAGTCTAATGAATACAGATCAAGAGATAAGTACGAAAAGGGAATCAAGTAAGCCGAAAGTTACCGATAATCACAGTTCTCAAAGTGCACCTGTATTAAGAAGAACCGAGAAAGAAGAGTTCAAAATAGATTTAGAACATCTGAACAAAGCTGCCGTCGAGCGACATCTAGCATTTCAAAATATTAAACATTCAAAGTTCAAAATGAAATGTTCTTGTAAGTTTAACTGCGTGATTTTGTTTGCAATTTTTTCCTAGTTACACTATTATGATTCGTTACAAATCGAAGATAATGTAAGTATTGCAATAATTTCTTAATCCATTTTACAATAATGATAATAATGACTAATGATAATTTATGTTTTTATGACCTTATCATTTTCTTCATCATGTAAATAAGTAAAGAAAAGTTAAGGTATTATCACAAAGGCAATATTCTGATGCGCGAACTTCCAAGCCTTTATTTTATTTAGTATTGTAAAAGATAATTTATTTTCCTATCAGCTTGTGGCAGGCCAGAATGTAAAAGTAACCAAAGAAGGAAGATGGCGGATTTTGTTAGAATATCAAAACAAGCTGGCTTTGAAGTTCACGACGTGAGTTCCGACGGAAACTGTATGTTTGCAGCCGTTGTTGATCAGTTACAAATACATGGGGATAACTCTTTTGATCCCAAGGCGCTCCGAGAGACAGCGGTTTCCTGGTTGATCGAGAATCCTAACAACAGTGATGGCACTCCATTTGCAAGCTTTGTATCGGATAAATGGGATGTTTATCTTCAGAAAATGGTACTGAATATAGTTATTCTGAAAATATTTTCTCAGTAACAAAATGGTTTCTGATCTTATTAACAAGCAAATGTTTGAGAAAAAAAATACATGAATACACCTTGCCATTTTCTATCCTAAAGCATTTTTCCTTTCCAATTCACAATTCATGGATGCTGCGTATTTTGCCAAGCTTCAACCTTAAGAACCCTTGCTAAATAAATGTATTACTTTTTACACCAGTAAAATATGAATTCCTGACACTTTCAGAAGCGAGCTGCATGGACGATGGGGACCGAAATTCGAATTTAATAACGTGAGTCTCTCGGCCACGGGTCCTAGTTTATGTTGACATGTTATATATTTGTATTTATAAAAAAGATTTGCATTTAAAAGTTTAATGTTATTTCCTTAGATAGCAGAAGGGGAATGGGGCGATCATTTGACATTGCGCGCAATTGCGGAAGTCCTTCGTCGGACGATCAAAGTCCTCAGTGACAGGGACGGGGAGTCCAATTGGACTATACTTAAACCAATGACTGTTGATGAGTGTAAGGATGAAACAGATTTAGTGTTAGGTCATATCGGGGAATTTCATTACACAAGCCTTAGACCAGCAGGTATGCTAATTGTGTGTTTGTTGTAAGAGATTTTTGTTTGCTTATAAATTTACAGTGACTGTTGATATACAATTTAGCTGCAGAAAACGGTTTTCTCACAACATAAAAATATGTTGTTTTTTTCTATTTTGTTTCTTTTGAAGGTATAGCGGACCAATCACTAAAGTCGCCGACAACGGACCAATCACTAAAGTCGCTGACAGAACAAGATGTGACAGATACTGATGATAACAATCAGACTTCTATTACAGGTTCGTGGTGTTTCAAAGGTTAATTGTTGATTAAACTTTGTTGAAGACGACTATGTCTGTTCAATAATTCTTGCTGAACAGAGTCGAAATATATGCGAATGGAATTATTATTTGATTTAGTGTTTGATGGCCGACAATTATATAGACGACTTTTATCATCTCTCAAACATACTAGATTTTTTAACATTGGTTTTGTCGTTCTAGGAGACGAAAACATCGAGATGTTTCGTGACGACTACATAGACGCTATCAGCGACATACCGCCCGCTCACTTCTCTTTCTTACTGAAACGTGTTATCCCTACAAAATTTCTGGTTTCCGCAGCAATCATGCAATCAGACCAGTTACATAGATTAAACTATCAAGATCTTTTCCGGGTAAGTCATAAAAAGGCACTCTTCTGGTTAAAACGATACAGTGAACCTGTAACTTCATGTGTATGAACACAAATGTAGATGTTTCTAAATTTCACCATTGTCATCTATATAATGTTGAATACTGCCAAGGGGTTCAAGTTGGTCCAAGGGGCGTTTCCGGCAGCTTATACTAAACACTACAATTGCGGGCAGGCTCATTGCATTTTTTTTTAATTTTTCAAATTTTCAAAATAATCATATCTTTAGCCCTCGATTAGTTATTGTTCAACACCTTAACATGAAATGTTTCTATTTTCAAGAAGTCTGGACTTATAATGTGCTGGCATACGTGAATTTATAAACATGTTCCTTTTCAATTAACATCTATAAGTAGCTGGGTTCTTGAGAAATGTTGCACTCGAATTTTTCAAATTAGTGAAAAGGCATATATATGAGCCGCGTCACGACAAAACCAACATAATGCGTTTGCGACCAGCATGAATCCAGACCAGCCTGCGCATCCGCGCAGTCTGATCAGGATCCATGCTGTTAGCTTACCAACCCTAATAGAAGTAACAAAACTGATAGCGAACAGCATGGATCTTGATCAGACTGCGCGGATGCAAACGCATAACGTTGGTTTTGTCGTGACGCGGCTCATATAGAGACATTTATTTCCCGAGATTTTAGAACAAAATAAAAAAAACTGAAAAGGGAAGTGTTATGCATTTTTTCTAAATAATAATGTATTAATGAAGTATCGTTCATTGCAGTTGAATAACTATGAATGCGACATAGAATTTGGTGGGAGTGTAGCAGAAGGAGTTTATGTGCCACTTCTAAACGCAGATATACATGGGTTTCCAAATCGGAATGTGGCGACATATGCGTATTCGGTGTTAAAAGACTACATTGCCACTACAAACAGTCCTGAAAATGATAAGAAAAATAACAAAATATATTGTGCATTAGACACGGCTGGGGTCCAAACTGGATATACAAGACTTATGTTCCCACAATCACACTGGATATATGGACCATGGCTGAAACTGTTTTTAGTTGAAGACACGCGACCATATTATATTTGCCCCAAGAATTGTACCATTGCACATATACATACTTACCAAAGAATTGCTGTTCGGTTTCAAGCCTGGCCGGAGTTTGCGCAGTCTTGGAAAGTGCGTAAACGCCTTGAGAATTGGCCACAAGAACATATTATGGCATCAATTGAGTCGGAAGGATGTTTACTTGTGTCTAACAATGATCCAGGTTTAGAATGGCGTTTTTCTTTCGATCTCTGTGAGAGAAAATTGTTTAGAGAGGCAGTATCACCAAATCAAAAATACTGCTATATTGTTTTTGATGCTATGTGTACACAGACAATGAACAATGTTAAGTCTATTACATCAGAACATCGGAAGAGTGTTTTCTTTTATGCATGTGAAAGAATCCCCGGGGAATATTGGGAAACCTGTCCAGGAGGATGTGTACTATACATGCTGGACGAGCTGTTGCGCTACATCAAAGCAAAGTACTTGCCAAACTATTTTGTCCATACCAACAACATGGTCTCCAACCTTCAAGACAGCGATTTTAACGATATTGAAGAAAAAATAACCCTTCTTAGATCTCAGCCAGTACTGTTTATCCAGCAGATAAACGATAGTATCGGATCTCTGTCTTGTGAAACCACAGTGATTACTAGAGTTCTGAACGATATTGCGAATTTTAAAGAGCATAAAAGCTTGAAAAGATCGACAATCGAATTGTTTATACCAGCAACGCTACAGACAGTACATGAATATATAAATGAGCGTTCATTCGAAAAGGGATACGACCTTCTTTCACAGGTATTCCAAGACCGCTTGTCAGTCAGCACGTGTGATGAATCCGTATCTTTTCAGATGTTTCTTTCGGATGCCTTACACGGTCTTGACATTGATTCCATAGTCTGGTTCTCAGCATACACAGACAGACAGTTAGAAGGCCAGCTGTCGAAACCGCTGATAAGGGAAACATGTGGGGATTTGCAATTAGTCAAAATAAGAGACATTCTTCCGCCTGATGTTGTTGGGTCATATGGTGATACTGAAGTGCCTGCTAAGTTTCTGCTAAAGCGTTGTTCGTTCTGCAACGACTATGCAAAATTTCTGTTTCAGACAAACAGACACTCGGAGATTCTGCCAATTCTTTATTACTGTCACGACATTTTCACTAAATCTAATGAAAAAAAGAAACTTGATAAAGATGATGATAATCATGTTGAAAATCAAGAAAGACTGGCAAGAAGTGATTTTACTGATGCATCAATGTTCAGTATCTATACGGCAATGTTTGCTGTATACAAAAAGCAGCATCAGATGGAATTTTTCCGCCACATGATGCCAGTTGTCAAGGGTATCGTAAGAAGAATGAATACAAGAGGCGCTTACAGCTGTCTTTGCTTCATGAACCAGGACCTCGGTGATAGAGTTGCGTTGGATGAGAGTTCCTCTGCATACGGTCGGTTGCCCTTTGACGCTAAGGAACATCAGCTTGTAAACGATTTCCTGTACTGGCCATACAAATGCAAAACATACATTTAAAGGATATTTGTTTCTTATTTCTATTATAGGAAATATAAAATTGGTAAGATAAACTAGAACCGGACGGTAAACTGAAATTCCAACCAACATATCACATGTCGTCTAAAAAGGAGTATTGAATTGCATAAAATCTTAACAATTTTTTCCCTGGACCCTATAATTGTTAGGTTAAACATACTTTTTTAAGTTTGATTGTGTAAGCTTTTAGAAACACTCTCGAATCCATTCCTGGGACAAGCAAGTACTAAGCAATTATTGAAAAGTTCCTTGTTCAAGGAAACAGCGACTTGCCACACGACTAGTCTAACACTTTAACCCAAAGGTCATGCTGCTAAACTATTGTTGATTGAAATACCTAATACAATGGAAAAGTAAAGCAGAATATTTGATTGAAAATTACTGGTATTAGATCTATTAAGAAACTTGGGCTATTATCATCACCACTTAGCTAAATTTCGTCATTTGTAATAGATTAGTATCTACTCGAAACGTATCCGGACAAAAATGAGCTACACAGTTGAAAAAGGTGATAAATTCAAGAATGTACAGATTCTGAAGTAAAATTATACATCAAAGAACAAATGTAGATCTAATCATATTCTACACTATGTTATGCCAAACAATATGTATGCTTCAAATAATAATTATGTCAAAATGTATAGAAAATTGTATATATATTGTATATACGAAATGAAAATAATACATGTAATATTGAAAGATTAAAAAGTTCTTAGATTTATTACATGCTTTTGGGTGGACAGTGAAATCAATTTTTTATGTCAATTCGACATAATAAAATATATTTTTTCTCAGTAGCCGGACTATATCTGAATGAGGATGAAAAGAAAGTAAGTTAAATAAGTGGACATATTGTCAGATATACACGCCGTCATGTGTAAAATGTGCTATATTACAAGAAACACATGATTATCTGCACATATCATTTTTAAAATTGTAATGTTATTTTGTAATGGTTTACAGAATTATTTTTCATTAAGAACACTGCAACTTAATTTTAATGACGTCAGTCAGAACGTATCTCGTTCCGTGGCAATAATCAGTAGCAAGAGGGCCATGATGGTCCTGAAGACGCTCACCTGTATATTTAACCAATGTTTCATTATAAATATCTAAGCTCTAGAAGATTTTTTAAGTTTTTACTATACACATATAAGGAAAAACAATGACCCCCCCCCCCCCTGGGTGGGGCCAATTTTGTCCCCAGGGCTATTATTTGAACAAACTTGGTAGACACTCACTAGAAGATATTTCATGCTTAGTATCTAAACTCTAGCTCTTTGGGGTTTTTTTAAAGACGATTTTTTAAGTTTTTTCTATACATATAAGGAAAATCAATGACCCCCGGGGCGGGGCCAATTTTAACCCCAGGGCCCTTATTTGAACAAAAATGGTAGACACCCATTGGAAGATGTTTCATGCTAAATATCTTAGCTCTAGCTCTTAGGGTTTTTAAAAAAAATTCTAAGTTTTTACTATATACATAAAGGGAAAAAAAATGACCCCCTCGGGGCGGGGTCACTTTTGATCCCAGGGCTTTTATTTCAACAAACTTGGTAGACACCAATTAGAAGATGTTTCATGCTTAATATCTAAGCTCTAGCTATTTGGGTTTTATAGAAGAAGATTTTTTAAGCTTTTACTATATACAAATAAGGAAAATCAATGACCACCCCCCACCCCAGCGGAGCCAATTTTGACCCCAGGGCTTATATTTGTACAATCTTGGTAGACACTGACTAGACGATATTTCACGCCAAATATTTAATCTCTAGCTCTTTTGGGTTTTTTTTTTAAAGAAGGTTTTTTAAGTTTTTTCTTTCGTTTGCCATGGCAACCAGAGTTAAGCATGGAATTAAATTCTTTGAACAATTTTTGAAGTTGACTACCAAAGACATTCCTGTGAAGTTTGGATGAAATTGACTCAGCGGTTTATGAGGAGATGTCGTTTAAAGCAAAAGTTTACACACGGACGAAAAGCGATCACAAAAGCCCACCATGTCACTTTGTGACAGGTGAGATAAAAATGACTTAAAACCCATAAAAAGCATGAAATAAATATAAAATTTGTTTGTTTGGTATGCAAGATCAAATTATATTTCACTTGTGAGCACCAGTTTTTTTTTTTTTCAATCATGACTTCGCCATTTGTGGGAAATTTATTACATTGGGGGTCCACTCGGGTTAAAAAAATAGTTCCCTCTTTTTTGCAAAAAATATCAACCAAGCCTATTTTTTTTAAATTTACAAAAAAAAATTTGAAACATATAATTTTCAAACATTTTTTTTTAATTTTAATATTAAATTAAAATTGACATTAAATTATTAGTTTTTTTGTTTTTCAAGGGGTTTTGTCTTTTTTCCCACTAGAAGCTTTTACATTTTTACGGGAATTTAAAAAAATTTTACTTAAAACTTTAAGTCAACATTTAACAAGGAATGAGTAAATTTGTGAGTTTGGAGATAGCTTAGTTTGCTTTGTCAAACTAGAAGATTACGGAGACAATTTTTCATTTTTACTTTGCCGTTAATTTCATTGGGAAAGCATACAGTCCTTTAAAAAGATGGTTTATTGTTTGTCATGTAAAAAACTGATGTGTTACCCCCTTGATCCGGAGTATTTCATTAGCAAAGGGGCATTTACTATTAAAAGTATTCGCCTTAGGTTTCAAATTTCCAACCTAGAATCCCCAAACCTGTCGCTCAGATCATCTGAAATTTAATGTTTCTGCAAAATAGTTTCAATTAAATTTGTTTTTAAAAGATACAAAGCAACACAAAATTTCTAAAACAGAACGAACAGAAAGAAAATCAGGTGAGTAATTTTTAGGGCATAGAAAATATAAAAATTAGCCGTGTCATGACAAAACCAACGATTAGTGGGTTTTGCGACCCAGCATGGATCCAGACCCAGCCTGTCATTCCGCGCAGTCTGATCAGGATCCATGCTGTTCGTTATCAGTTTTCTATTTAATAGGGTTTTGTAAGCGAACAGCAGGGAGCCTGATCAGACTGGCGCGGTATAAGCGGGGCTGGTCGGGAAACCCAAATGCTGGTTGCAAACCATTTTTTGGTTTTGTCATGACTGGCTAAAATTTTTAAGCTTAGCAATAGTATTTTCATTTTCCACAACATTTTACATATCCGCACATTTAAGGGGACCCCTTTAAAAATTTGCTTTTAAAATCACGTTAAAAATAAAAAAAAAAAAAACATTTTTTGAAAATTTTATTAAAGTTTGAAAACAATACAAGAAACTTTAAAATTCAGAAATTGTTATAAAACCCAATTTTATACAGTTTTTCTCTCTTATTTTTTTGAAAAAAACGTGATCGGGTTCTATTGAGAAAATTTTACTGTTTTTCTAAAATTTTTAAAAATTATTATTAATCAGTTTTTAGTCAAACCATACGTAAGGGTCAAAAAAAAAATGGTCATAGATTTACGGGGTGGGGGAAGCCCTTTGGGGGTTGCCTCTTATGCGGGGGTTTTCGGGCCCTTGTTTTGACACCTGAAACCACTGACCTTCCTTTTATTTTAAGCGGGAAATGCTTCCTCACAAAAAAGGACTCCAAAGTCTCGGGTGGGGGTTTTGGAACCCACAGGGGTTTGAGGCAAGGGGCAAACCCCCTTTAACCACCTCTCAAAAAGTGAGCTTCGGGGAAAAAGCAGTGTGTACTCAACCTATTGTATGAAAAATACTGAATTGTTTCCCTTTTAAAATTTTAAAAGGGAATTTAAAATCATGTTACATTAAAAAAAAATTCTCTACTAGGATTTCAGGTTCAACCATTCCAGTGTAATTTTGAAAATGATTTTTTTTTCAATAAATTTGAAAAGTCAAGCTAGGGGCACGGGAATAATATAAAGTAAAAAAAAGGGGGAAAGGGTTTGCCGTATATGATAAAGGGCCGCCCATGTTTTGCCTTCATATAAAGGGTCCGGGCCATGTTTTCCCTTTACCCATATCAAAGTCCGACCATAATTTGCCTATCCCCAGTATCAATCAGGTTATGAATTTGCCTATCAATTAATTCAAGTCTGGCCATGATTTTGGCCTATCATTATTTGCAACCAGGACATGATTTTTTGCCTATCAATTAGTTAGGTCATGCTTATGACTATCATTATCAGAGCCAGACATAGATTTGCCTATCATTATCAAGTAATAAACCCATGATTTACCTATCACTTATCAAACCAGGACATGATTTGCCTATCATTATCAAGCCAGGCCATGATTTACCTATCATTATCAAGCCATAGGACATGATTTGCCTTCATTATCAGCCCAGGACATTGATTGCCTATTCAGTATGCAAAGCAGGCCAGTAGCAATTGTATCAGGACAAGGGACATGATGGCCCTGGATGACTTCGGGAACCAAGTGAAATTTGCTAGAAAAGGGGTCACAATTCTTTAATGCAGAAGCAAGTTAATAGGTAACATAGGGTGTGTCAATTTTTACCCCAGCTGCATACTTTATAAAATATTTATATATACAGCAATCACATTAGCTCAATTCCAGGTACAACTAAATAAATTCAACTTCCGTTGAGTAATAAAAATCATAACCAAGTGTTAACCCTTGAGGCTAGTAATTGCCAATGGTAAAGTGAGTATATGTTTCAACCCAACCTAAAAATCTAAACTTTACTATTTTATACAAAAGTTCCAATGTTCTACACTAAAAGTTCAACAAACATTGAATGGTTTACAAAATATAGATCACATGAAAGACAAATAAACTGAGTAACAACATGATAACAATGAAAATCCAAAACATAAAATGACTGTTTCAAATGTAAATACACAAAATAAGTAAAGCTGCATGCCTCCAGATGAACCAAAATATTTCATGAAAATCAACATTGTAAAAAGAGTTTTTAAGAAATGTAAAAAGATTCAACAATAAATAATAATTTCCATGTTATGTGCGATTTATGGTTAAATTTTCAGTATTTTTCACAATATTTCTATTGAGTTTCTAACACAGTAAGGGCTATTTTGGCATATTTTGAACTCTTTTTGGTTATAAACAAAATCTATTTGCAATGTGAAAATTATTTTCTTTCTTCACTACAATATTTTACTTTTTAACACATTTTGAAAAATTTAAGAAAAGATCAAATGTTATAAATATTACAGTTAATTTCTACAGGAATTTAAAGTTGTAATTAGCAAAGTAGCAACAAATGCTACAAAATGGTTTCAATTTGAACATACAAGTGCTATATATAAATGTAAAGTATGAAAAATACCTGAAATTTCATTAAATTCATACTACAACAACTTATTCAAAATATGATTGCAGTGAAGTATTTACTCTGAAAGACAATGCAATATCATATATAATATAAATATACCCAATACATTTTTATAACATAAATTAACAAAATTTAATGAAATACATGTTTAGCTTCTTCAGTATACCTTACACTTTTAGTGAGTTAGGATGATTGAGTTTTTGATGCTGAAGATATTTGCAAAAAATATCTATTCCAAAATAGAGCATTTCAAAAGACCTTTTCTGGTTTTTACCTTGTCATAAAATTCACAATCACACTGTTTTCCTGTTTGAGGAAGGCATAAAGTGTCCTTCCAGGCAGTTTCTAAAGCATCAGTTGGCAGTCAGTTATAACCATTGACCACAAATAAACCTGGTGAATATCATTTTATGTGAATAAAGGTTTATAGGGCAACATCCCTCATTCAATCTCATAATGATTATGGTCAAACTAATTCAATATCATTAACTTAACAATGTCACTATTAAGGCCTCTAAAAATCACTAAGAATCAAAAATCATAAAAAGAGGCCCAAACATGGATATCATCCTATCAAAATACATCTCAATAATACATATACAGTCGGCATCGTACTTGCGTCCACCTTTATAAAGCGACTTTTTTATTAAGCGGCCGCGTAAAATCCCTCCCGATGATTTTTACTATATAAGTTAATTCCATTAAACGACGATTTTATATCGCGGCCAGCGGCCACTAAATGGCGGCCCAAATATACAAAATTAAGTGTTAAAGTATCTATTAAACGGCCGTGACAAACAATCGTCCCTACGGGCATTCTCACCTGTGTAATCAGCGAGTAGGTTTGATGTGTACAAGCAAACAAACAAATATTTTTCATGGTCATTGGTCTTACAGTATCTATTAAACGACCGTTATAGATAATTGTCGTTTAAAAACGAAGCAATCGTTTCAAAATCGGAAAGAAAGAAACAATTTTCCGATCGTAATATTTATTGTGACATATTTTGTCAGAGCAATAACGTATCACAACACCGCATTTGCACAGTTTTGTCATGTGCTCAGAGTGACCTCCCTTCCAGAAAATCAAATCGAAAATGACGTCGGAACGAGCGAAAATTAACAGACAACTAATAAGACCTGATAAATTGAATGAGGAAATCGTGCATGTAATTGAGTCTGAGTAAAAAGCAATTGTCATCGTTTGTAGTCAAAATAAAATCATGAAACGTAGTGGACTAAACATTACAGAACCGAGCCTTTCATTGCTGATGGTGTAGGTGCTCATCTGATGCTTTTTAAAATACATGTAGTACCCCATTAAATATGACCTTTCGACAAAAAAAAAAAGAAAAAAATCCCAGATCTCTAAAAACCTTATTGAATTTGAAATCGGGGTAGTGTATACAAATGTCTACTAAAAACAAAAACAAACACACATTGATGACTTTTTTTAAAAAAAGGCATAAATGTTATTATAAAACTGTTATACATACATAATATTGTACAATTTTTATTTTTTTTTAAAGATGTTATTATATCTATGACTTGTAATATAAGAAAGTCTAGAATTTTCCAAAATTCTATTGAGAGACCACTTTATTAAGAGACCACTTTTTGGCAGTCCCTTGAGTGGTCTCTTAATACAATGTCGACTGTACATTTTTTTTTTTTTTTTGGTTGGATTTTAGATTACACAAACACATAAGAGGTCATATGGCGACTTTCCAGCGGTACTGGTAGAGACTTGAGGTGCATCTCTGTGCATAAGCCATGAACAGGTGCCCGAGTAGAACCATCATTAGAGATTACAGAATTGTTCATGGACACGAACATGATTGCATTTTTATGGAAATAATTCCTTTAGGTGAAAGTGTGACTTTGATGTTTGAGCTTCAGACATAGATCTTACAAGTGACACATTGTCTCAATGTGCTACACATTTTAACAAAATAATTTCAAAATCCATCCATAATTTGAATGACAAAGTTGTGGAGCAGACAAAAAGTTGTAGCAGAAAACAAAGTTGTCAGACAGAAGCTGCAAAAACTATATGCCTCCCCATACTGGGGGAGGGGGGTGGGGAATCAACAAAACAGAGTCATTCACTCAAATTGGTCATTGAAAATGTACCCTAGATCAGCTCAGAGTATGAAAATATTGTCTTTTCTGTATATAAAAAACACTCCACATGATTCACAAGAACAACTAAATTAGCACCACTGGTATGATTGGGAATTCCTTCTAACAAACTGGAATAAACACTACAAATGTTCATTTTAAAGAAAAATTGAAAATTGTCAACATGAACACCATTGATGTTTTCTTCGTATCTCTGACAATAAGTTCATGTCACCAAGGTTTTTAACTTAAGTTTTTATTTTCTGTGATGCTATCTCATTTATAATCACTGACAGAATCAGACTGATTAATTTTGAAGAATTGCACTTTTTCTCAGAAGCATTATGCTAGTGTGTGACTTTCAAAAATGTTGAAAACAAACATTATTAATATTTTTCCAAACCTCACGACTATAAAATGTGTAATGACTGCAAATTTAATATAGTGTATCTTGTAACATTCAAATTCATTGGCTAAACATTATTAAATGGTCGGAATACTATTGAAAGCAGGGTATTTGAGCTTTCATTTTGCCAATTGTATGTAGAATCGTTATTTCCCCATCTATTTGAATCTACATGTGAAGAATTGTAACCCCGCCAACCATCTGATACGGTGTTCCTCCAGGCATTTGACCATCTGTACCTGTCCAACGATACTTGTTTGTAATGTTCGTGACTACTTCCAGTATGTCTGCTGCTGTAATAGTCATTATAATGTTTACTTCCATTAACTCTATTTCTGTCATATGGACCTGCTTGACGAAAATGCTTTCTCTTGTTTCTATGACAACCTGATGTTGTTGATATCTGCTTGTCCAAGTTCCTCACCCTGCGACAAAGACAACCATTGTTTATAAATGAACAAAACAGAAACTCATTACCATACAGCTTCAAATTAGACACAATCATACCAATTTTCCATACATTACTAGTAGTCAAGATATTTGACAAGTTATATGTTGCATCATATATGGTTGTTAACAAATAAGATCCCAGGCCACAAGGCAAACAACCTTTTATTCATGACCATATTATACTTATGAAATATCTTTATAATGAATTAAAATACAAATTACTCCTTTGAGAAAAACGAATGAGCCGCGCCATGACCAAACCAACATAATGGGTTTGCGACCAGCATGGATCCAGACCAGCCTGCACATCCGCGCAGTCTGATCAGGATCCATGCTGTTTGCTATCAGTTTCTCTACTTATTATACGGCCTTTAAGCGAACAGCATGGATCCTGATCACTGCCCGGATGCGCAGGCTGGTCTGGATCCATGCTAGTCGCAAACCCATTATGTTGGTTTTGTCGTGACGCGGCTTAAATTTCAGTCAGAGTTTGCAATTTTTATGCAATTCTGTTGTTTTTTCAGAGGGGAAGTGGTAGTCATAATGACCAACACTGTTTAACTCATATGGTGACATTCAAGCATTATTATTATTGTTTCAGTCAGGAAATGTCTGCTTGTACATTATTTCAGAGACATGAACAGGTACCAGGGTATAACCACTGGATTTCCCTAAGCTTATAAAAATCTTTGGAATGTAATAAAAACACTGCATATAAGCACTATTTGGTGCAAAAACTTTGGATAACTAGAACTATCACTAAATGTGATTAATACTCCCACAAGTCTGCTTCGGAAATGAGGATGTTACTAGTAACAGAATACCTTGTAATAGAATTGAAACAATTAAAGATAATTGTGGTTCATGTATATTGCATTTCCTTTCAATGTGGTTGGCCATTGATGAAGTTTAATTGAATTACTCTGTAATAAGTCAAGAAAAACAAAGAAAAAGAACAAAGGGCAATAACTCTATAAATACTGAAGATAAAGTTATAGTTCTTGTGCACTGCACTTCCTCTTATTGTGCTTGACCATTGTATGAAGTTGTTTTGAATTCCAACCAGTACGTTTTAAGTTATGCTCTGGACAAGGAAAAGTATCAAAGGGCAGTAACTCTGTATTTGGTCAAAATGGAGTTATGGCTCTTGTGCACTGCACTTCCTTTTAATGTCCTTGACAACTGTATGAAGTTGTACTGAATTCCAAACAGTAGTTTTCAAGTTATGCTCTGGACAAGGAAAAGTAACAAAGGGCAATAACTCTGTAATTAGTCAAGATGGAGTTATGGTTCTTGTGCACTGCACTTCCCCTTATTGTGCTTGACCATTGTATGAAGTTGTTTTGAATTCCAACCAGTAGTTTTCAAGTCATGCTCTGGACAAGGAAAAGTAACAAAGGGCAGTAACTCTGTAATTTGTCAAGATGGAGTTATGGTTCTTATGCACTGCATTTCCTCTCAATGTGCTTGACCATTGTATGAAGTTGTTTTGAATTCCAACCAGTAGTTTTCAAGTCATGCTCTGGACAAGGAAAAGTAACAAAGGGCAGTAACTCTGTAATTTGTCAAGATGGAGTTATGGTTCTTATGCACTGCACTTCCTCTCAATGTGCTTGACCATTGTATGAAGTTAAAATGAATTCCAACAATAAGTCTCAAGTTATGGTCCGGACAAAAGAAAGCAATGGAAAAGTAACAAAGGGCAATAACTCTGTAATTAGTCAAGATGGAGTTATGATTTTGTGCACTGCACTTCCCCTTATTGTGCTTGGCCATTGTATGAAGTTGTTTTGAATTCCAACCAGTAGTTTTAAAGTCATGCTCTGGACAAGGAAAAGAAACAAAGGGCAGTAACTCTGTAATAAGTCAAAATGGAGTTATGGTTCCTGTGCACTGCACTTCCTCTCAATGTGCTGGACCATTGTATGAAGTTATAATGAATTGCAACAATTAGTCTTCAAGTTATGGTCCGGACAAAAGAAAGCAATGGAAAAGTAATAAAGGGCAATAACTCTGTAATTACTTTAGATAGAGTTATGGTTCTTATGCACTGCACTTCCTCTCAATGTGCTTGACCATTGTATGTAGTTATATTGAATTCCAACCATTAGTCTTCAAGTTATGGTCCGGACAAAAAAAAAGAAGGCAATGGAAAAGCAACAAAGGGCAATAACTCTGTAATTACTTTAGATAGAGTTATGGTTCTTGTGCACTGCACTTCCCCTTATTGTGTTTGACAATTGTATGAAGTTGTTTTGAATTCCAACCAGTAGTTTTCAAGTTATGCCACGGACAAGGAAAAGTAACAAAGGGCAATAACTCTGTAATTAGTCAAGATAGAGTTATGTTTCTTACCCACTGCACTTCCTCTCAATGTGCTTGACCATTGTATGTAGTTATATTGAATTCCAACCATTAGTCTTCAAGTTATGCTCCGGACAAGGAAAATGCAACGGACAAAAAAAAAAGCGATGGAAAAGCAACAAAGGGCAATAACTCTGTAATTACTTTAGATAGAGTTATGGTTCTTGGGCACTGCACTTCCCCTTATTGTGTTTGACAATTGTATGAAGTTGTTTTGAATTCCAACCAGTAGTTTTCAAGTTATGCCCCGGACAAGGAAAAGTAACAAAGGGCAATAACTCTGTAATTAGTCAAGATAGAGTTATGGTTCTTGTATACTGCACTTCCTCTCAATGTGCTTGACCATTGTATGTAGTTATATTGAATTCCAACCATTAGTTTTCAAGTTATGCTCCGGACAAGGAAAATGCAACGGATGTCTGGACCGACCGACCGACCACCCGACTGACCGACCACCGGGTGACTCCTATATACCCCCCTAAACTTCGTTTTTGGGGGTATAATAACAGGTCAACCTTTGTAAACTGTCCAAAAAACTAAATTACAGGGCTACAGATAACATTTTGTGTATATTGGGTGATTACCCCTTGTTTTGTGATCTATTGGTTTTTTTCCTATTTCTTACGAGTTATTTCTGTATTTTTTACCCTACCCTCTCTTACCAATTTGGGTTTTAAAGCAAATGTTCATGTAATTTTACCCAAAATTTCTGACCTTCATTGTAGACTGTTGTAGGTTTTGTACGGTAATAAAAAAGCTACTTACTACTATGCTTTATGGTTTATTGGCCTAGGAGTTTCCAAGCTACCTGATATGATTTAAAGGTTAAAACAGTCTGAAACAGTATGATCTGTCTGATGTAAGCATTAAGTATAACTTATGTCTTTACCCACCAGTTCCAATGTAGTTTGCATAAATAAGAATTTATTTACTTTTTCTTACCCTTAGTTATTATTTCAATTGCTTTTTTTGACATTTAAATTGGGTAATTACGCAAATACGCATGATCTGCAGCCCTGTAAATTCCTTGTGAAATATCATATAATGTGTGTACTGGCATGCATAGGTAATATATGTATATAAATCATTTACTTGTCAATTGTACTAGCCACTTCTTCAATTAAATTCTTCACGGCAGGATATTTGTTCATCAGTGTATTGTTTGTCTTCAGTGGAGCTTTTTTAATAGGTGTACCTTCTTCATCAGTCTCAGTCAAGTCTATAACCTCTAGCTTGTCAATTGTTTCATCTATATAAAACAAACACAAAAATATTAAAAAAACTTTTCCTTTCTTTTCTTTTGTTATTTATTATTTACGTCTTAATCTGAAGAATATGATTATCAAATTTGCCCTGTTTTAAAGATGGCACAGTCTTTTCAAACTTTAACTGCCTTCAATATCTAAATACTAAAATTTATCAGATTTTAATATTTGACATTATTACTAGATATTATTTACAGAATAAACAGCTTATAACGACATTCAGGGGACTGCCATATTTACATCATTATATCCAGATATTGTTATATCTAAGCAGCAACCAATTTGAAGAGTCAGGACCATGGCAAAAGTGTCGTTATAAACAATATATTGTTATAAGAGGAGTTAACTGTAATTTGTTTATTCAAGAATAATGAAGATGAAATTTTATTTAAGGTCAAATCTACCAAGATAAGTGTATAATGGTGACAACAAAATTCTAAACTTCTGAAATATCAACCCTTACTCGGACAACTTTTACCTTTTCAAGACTTACCAAGCATAACACATATGTTTTCCTTATCTGTGTCGCCAGTGTCCTTTGTCCCTTTGTAAGTCCAAGAACCATCTTCTAAAATCTCAATCTCCACTATATTCCAGGGAACCGTCTCTAGTATCTCTATGAATAGCCTTTAACAAAAACAAAATATTGTAAACAATTGATATATAAGTGTGTTGAGAGATTTTTAAAATGAATTTCTGAACTCTAAAACTTTCATCTGTGAATATCTAATAATGAAATATACTTATAGAAAAGAAAATACAATCTAACCAATTAAAAACAATGTTCAACAGATTAACTGTAATTACTTGTAAAACTTGAAGAGGGGGTGGTAAATGATCTTATGGTTAAGCTTAAACAGGCTGGTGAAAATGCCCAATTGGCCTTAAGACATAAAATATCATATTTCTAGAAAAATAATTAATATGTTTCTTTCTCACTTGTTTTGTTTAGCATTTATATATGATACAAATCAAAATAAAAAATATTTTGGTTATCTTTTATTTTCTAAGAATTATTTCACTTTTTCCCCATTTTCTGGAAACAAATTATTTGAAGTTCATAAAAATTATGTTGTAATGCAAAATTCTTAATAGAAATGTGTCCAACAACTTTATTTTGCTCCAGATTATTGCGCCAATACCTTTATTCTACATATTTATTTGGATTAAATATTCTGTTTCTGGCATTTTGACAGTTCTTTGACACTGAACATTATACTTTAAAGCTACATTAAATAAATTTCATAAAAACAGAAATGGCGACATTTCATTAATAAATTGGGTTTCATATCGACTCCAGATTTTATTTTGGTGTCAAGACAATCAAAATAAGTTTTATAAGCATAAAAAATTGCAACCTCATTGTGGTGAAATCGGAAGTACAATAATAATTATTTCTGTTTGCAACATCAATATTATATCAACAAACATGACTATGTGCAGCAGTTCTAATCTAACGGTATATTTCCGCATTGTAACGGATGTTTTCATACAATTTAATCCTTTTTATGAGATGATTACTTTTTTCTGAACCACAGGCCTATAGTGCATCGTGAAGCTAAAACGGTTAAAGTGTGTTTGCACAAGAAAATCTCATATTTACTGTGTTCCGGGTGGCAGCTATAACACTGTGACGTAGCGCATACACGAGCTGATTATAGTCTTCATTTGCATGTTAAAATTCGTATACGAACTTTAGTGTTACCGTGGGGTTTTCCGTTTAAAATCCTAATTTATGAACAATATTTGATGAGATTTACAACATAACTGTTAAAAAGGTTTATGAAACTGTATAATGCTTGTTTTTTAAGGCTGACGGCAAAATATTCTTACATATTTATTTAATGTAACTTTAAAGTTTTATTTGAAAACTGAATGAAATGTATGTTGACAGGTGTTGGCGAAATGTATTAGAGCACAAAGAAGTTATTTAACCTATTTTGATTTACACTTTGCATATGTAACATATTTTTTAAAAACTTCAAAAATTATGTGAAATATAAAAACATGAAAAAGGGGAAATAATTCTCACAAAATTGACAGAAGCCAAATATTTTTCTTCCTGTTTCGGTCAAATATTATCCTCAATAAACAACAAAGTTTGAAAGAAATATCTTTATTACTTTCTAGAAATATGATTTTTTATGTCATAAGCCCGATCGGGCAATTTTACCAGCCTGTTAAAGTGTCTGCCACACAGAACAGGGATTATGGTTTCAAGCCCTACAAATTTATCACAACCAAGTTTCCTCAAATTATACCAGTACTATTAATTCCAGAAAGTAGACATGAAATTAGTTCAAACAAGCTGAAAAGCTTTCTTTAACAAGAGCTGTCAGAAGGACAGCGCGCTCGACTTTTTTAGTGCTTGCCTATAAAACAAAACTTTGACAGTTAAGGGCACACAAGACTTTAACTAGGAATTTCTAAGTACAAATCAAGAAACATTTTCACAGAGTTATCTTCTCTTGCTTACAGATAGGTCTCATGATGGCACATAAGAACTCCAACTTCCAAAGTAATATCTCAAATGGTTAGGTCAACAAGTGGACAAGAATGAAAATTTTAACTGAGTTTCTAAGTCAAAAAGGGCCATAATTCAAATAAAATCCTTAACAGAATTACCTTCTCCTGCCCATGTTTGGGACCATGATGGTAAACAAGTATTCCAACTTTCAATTTAATATCTCAACCAGTTCAGTCAAAAAGTTGACTGGTACAAAAAACTTAACCAAGATTCTAAGTCGATAAAAGGCCTTAATTTTTAAAACAAATCCCTGACAGAGTTACCTTCTCTTGCGTACAGATGGGGGTAATGATGTGAAATAGCATTAAAAGTTTCAAAGCAATATCTCAAAGGGTTAAGGCAATAAGTGGATTTTACCCATATTCAATGTATTTTCTAAGTCAAAAAGGGGCATAATTCTGTCAAAAACCTTGACAGAGTTATGTCCTCTTGTCTGTTGGTGAAGGTCGTGATGGTAAACAAGTATGGTCAGTTTCAAAGCAATACCTCCAATGGTTTTGAAATAAAGTGAGGTGGTACAAAAAACTTGACCAAGCTCAATACACTTTCTAAGTCAAAAAAGGGCCATAATTCTGTCAAAAACCTTGACAGAGTTATGTACTCTTGTCTGTAGATGGAGGTTATGATGGTGAACAAGTATGGTAAGTTTCAAAGCCATACTTGTAATACTTCTGAAATAAAGTGGGGTGGTACGAAAAACTTAACCAAGGTGTGACGCCAACGCTAACGCCGACGCCGACGCCGGGGCGAGTAGGATAGCTCCCCTTTTCATAGAAAAGTCGAGCTAAAAACAGCACTTAAATATGTTTACACTGTATATTTTTTTACTCTATATTATTTTCAGATTTTTTTTTTCAAAGCTAGGCCCCAATGTTATAAACATTTCTCTGAGCTATGTTTCAAATCTCAAGATTGCATTGGTCAGTGTATATTCTGGCCAATCAAATACCTGAGACCTGAGCTTGAGATTAACAATTTGCTATATAACTGGGGACCCTCATTTAGCAGTCATTGGACTCTGTTGAAGTTATATATAAAATTTCCTGCTCCTACATGCAGACAAAATTTACACAATGTCACTTTATAAAGCATCAACTTTTTAGCTGACTAACAGGAGAGAAGTCTTCTTAATTTAATGGAACATGTTTAAAAATTTGACCCGCATTAAATAATGGCAAGTGACTCCAAGCACAGGGACTTGATATTTATGAGTTTATAAGAAAATATGTTATCTCTATATTTTCTTATAAAAGCATATTTTGTGTTTTATTGGTTAAATATAAAATTCCTGTACTCCAAGTCAGTGATTATATATAGAGGATATTGAATAAGTATAAATTCAATACTGAAATTTATTGAACATGTTAAACAGAAGTATAGAGACTTGCATTAATATTATTTTATTCAACCAGTTTCATAAAATTAGTATTGAAACTACACCAATACAATATTCTATTTATCACATATCCAAAACAAAACTGTTTACAGTAAAAATGAATCACTTTATCATGTACGCTTATAGTGTGACACTAACATTGCGTCTATACGCTATGTCTGTATAATGCAAATGACATCACGTCAAACTATATGCACGGCTGTGCAATACACATTTACAGAGTTGCAAAACTGGCACAGGCATGTGATAGTCACAGACACTCCTATTTCTTTATCCACACTTACCCATCTATATACAGATCTGGATACCCTGCTGGTTGCTGACAAACCGGACATTTCCATACCTTTTTCATCTTGTTCATGCCTAGTATGGTTCTAGCATCTATACACTGAATATGTGAGCAGTTTTTGCTCCTGCAAGGCTTCGATAGCCGCATCTTTCCTATCTTAAATAAAAAATGCAAATATTAAGTAAAAACACCAAAAAAATTTACTAAGATAAATACAAACTACTTTTTAGTAATTGACATACATTAAAACTGAACTTTGGAATTCATTCCATTTGGTGATAAAGTATTCAAATGATATATCCAGGAAGTCTCTTTTAAAGAAGTCTTTCCCATGATGTGTTACTTTATCTATAGGCATAATCCTTGTATCTTAAATATAGTTACTGAACAGTATGGGTAGCTACGGACGATACCGGAATTAATCCGTGGCTCTTCCGTGGGCGTATTCCGCTAATATGTGACCTGGGTATTAAAAATAAATATTAGGTTGAATATATTTTCTATAGAGAAATAAATAGGTTGAATATATTTTCTATAGATAAATAGAATACAGCCAGTAATACTGACATAGTACTACATAACATATTTGATAAATTGATGTTTTACCTGTATTCTGCAAATTTGTACAGTAAATTTCAATTTTGAATCTGGAACAGTTACTGTTATTGTACTTAAAAGCATTTAAGGTTGTTGTTGTTTTGGGGCGTTTATCTTTGACACAACAGGACTAGAAAGTTTTGTTGTTGTTTTTTGAGATTTTGTAAAATTTGATGAAGGTCTTAACCAATAATGTTTGCACTAAATTTCAAATCATTAGCTCTCTTCTTTTTTCCTGAACACCTTTTAAAAAAATTGTTTTTAATGAATAAACCTCATTTTGTATTACATCATAACCTGGCAAAATTTGATGTTCACTATAGATGGGACAGACTAGAGAATTTCTATACAATTTTATGAATTAGCTCATTTAATATAGTAAATGACTTACCGGACATGTTAAACTGGCTTTAATATTGGTAGTGGCTACCTCACAATCATCATCTGTCTTGAACTTTGACATTACTGAAATAAAAGTCCTCAATTTGTATTATATTGATTCAGTATGTGTAAATTTGACTTCAGTGTCTCCACTAATCCTATGCCTGCTGGCATCAAACTGGACAAGGATTTCTCACCAGTATAGAGCTATCAGTCAACCTTCTGTATGCTAGTAGTGAAAATACAAGCTCAAGAAAGCAGCTTTGTAAAATAAGCAATCCAAATAGAAGTTTCCAGAAATATTTGCTGTAACATTAAATAAGTCTACAAGCATACAAATACCAATCTAAACACCATCTCTGAAGGACCCCTTTCCCCAATTCTCCCACAAAGAGATCCTCAAATATATGACACTAGATTAACCAGAATCAAACCATTTCAATTCAAGGGGCATAAATGTAAAATGCTGATTAATATGCCTTTTCACTAGTTTTGGGGAAAGTGCCCTTGCCCTTTTTGTGGGGAAAAATGCGCGATTTTCACTTTTGGGGAAAATATCATATTTTCACACATTTTGGGGGAATATCATAATCTATTTGCATATTTTCCTCCAATTTACTATAGTACTAAGCTTTCTGTCCAACATGAGTTAAAGACATTTTTTACAGATCAATTTATTGCCCCTTTATATTAACTCACATTTCCTCATTATAGAATTTTATGTAGATCATGTGAGGGTTCTTGGTTTGATTCAGAAAGTACATTATTAACAGTTCCCACTGTATTACTGGCACTGTGCCAGGCTTGCTATTTCCAATGGTTGGGCATGTTGTGCTACTCAGACATATGGGCTTGCGAGGGGATACATGTATTGGATTCTGTTGCACTTACAAGGTCATCAATTCATCCAATTTTTAATAAACAATTACAAACGTCACTCAATCTTATTTCCTTTTTTTGTTCTGTGACATTGTTTATATTATATTTTTAAACAAGAAAGTTTAATTCTTCAGTTTGACTTTTCTTTTAAAGGGGAAATATTCGCAAGAAGGGGAATTTTAGACTGTTTTTTGGGGGAAAAAGTTAGTAACTTGGCTTGGGGAAGTAGCCTGATACCGCAAAGAAGGGTAAAAAGGCCCTGGTGCATATTGTAAATTGAAATTTGAATTAACTTTCTCCATCAACAAAACAGTTTATAAGAAAGACAGAATGCATTCAATCTTTATTTTTGTGCTGAGTTTTTCTTTCAAAAGAAAAAATTGAAAAAAAAAAAAAAAAAAAAATCAAATCCAACTTACTGAAATCTCTTGTCTCCTGCACAGGTCTCACACTGATACCTTCAAGCAGTTCATTTATAGTCTTCATTTTAAAGACTTCACATGCAAAATGTAATGTCTGAAAGATAGAAAATCATATCAAGAGCGCCTCATGCAGTGTTAATCTGTTAAAACGTTAAATTCCAAAGATAATAATTTCAGAATTATGCCCCTTGTCTAACAACTGCACTTTGTCATGATAAGCACATATTCCAAGTTTCATGTTGATAACTATTACAAAGTTTGAATAATGGGCTACATAAAAGTTTTTGAATGACAACAATTTTGATTCCAACACCACTGGAGCAATCATAATATCTCAACTTATTCTTCTAAACAGACAAGCTATATAAGATAAATCATAATATTCTCCTTTTCTTCCAAATTATTCTTGCTTTCAACTATTCTAGGATAAGTAAATAAATCATGCCTCACTGTCAAAGGGATATGAATACATTCTTCTAACTATTGTAGCATTTTAAGATTTCACTTTCACACAAACACTGTTACTGATAAGAAGTTTTGCTATCAAAATTTTTAAATTTCAAGTCTTTGTGTTGTAATAGTACACCACCTCAGGCAAACACAAGTGTTAGTCTCAACAATAATAATACTATGCATGTGTGAAAAACTTTCTAAGCTTTGTAAATTCACAAACTAGTAGTGTATGCAAATAAAGTGAAGTGCAAGGTTGATGTATCATTCAAACAAAGCAATGCTCCACCACTACTGTAAACTTCTATAGGCTTTTCTAATAAAACATTTGAGCCGCGTCATGACAAAACCAACATAATGGGTATGCAATCGGCATGGATCCAGACCAGCCTGCGCATCCGCTCAGTCTGATCAGGATCCATGCTGTTCGCTATCAGTTTCTCTACTTGTTATAGGGTTTGTAAGCGAACAGCATGGATCCTGATCAGACTATGTGGATGCGCAGGCTGGTCTGGATCCATGCTGGTCGCAAACCCATTATGTTGGTTTTGACATGACGCGGCTCATTTTAGAAGATATCATAAATAAATTATACATTTATTCATGCAAAATCAAATCTGATAAAAATCAGCTCTAAATAATGCTCCACTTTTAGATATGTGACCACCATTGGCGAGCATTTATAATTTTAAAAGCAATGTGATTTCTAATTTTAACCCTGGGAAAACCAATACTGAGTGGGTTAGTTTCAGGATTAGAAGAACAAACATGGCGTTTTCCATATAGCCGACAGGTAAACTGGCAAAACAGTCTTGCCCATTAAAAATTGACTCTTATTATTTCAAGTTAATTTATTAAAAATTACTTCAAACATTTTTTTTTTCAAACAAAAATCAACAATTTGTTAATTTTCCAAGGATAACGGTATTATGATACTTCTTCTAATGCCCATGTAAACTAGAACTATCACTAAATGTGATTAATACCCCCACAAGACTGCTTCGGAAATGAGGATGTTACTTGTAACAGAATACCTTGTAAAAGAAATGAAATATAGAGTTATGGTTGTGGGCAATAAAAGATAGTTGTGGTTCTTGTATGTTGCATTTCCTTTCAATGTGGTTGGCCATTGATGAAGTTTAATTGAATTACTCTGTAATAAGTCCAGAAAGACAAAGAAAAGAAACAAAGGGCAATAACTCTATAAATACTGAAGATGGAGTTATAGTTCTTGTGCACTGCACTTCCTCTTATTGTGCTTGACCATTGTATGAAGTTGTTTTGAATTCCAACCAGTATGTTTTAAGTTATGCTCCAGACAAAGAAAAGTATCAAAGGGCAGTAACTCAGTATTTTGTCAAAATGGAGTTAAGGCTCAATGTGCTTGACCACTGTATGAAGTTATAATGAATTCCAACAATTAGTCTTCAACTTATGTTCCAGACAAAAGAAAGCAATGGAAAAGGAACAAAGGGCAATAACTCTGTAATTACTTTAGAAAGAGTTATGGTTCTTGTGCACTGCACTTCCCCTTATTATGTTTGACAATTGTATGAAGTTGTTTTTAATTCCAACTAATAGTTTTCAAGTTATGCCCCGGACAAGGAAAAGTAACAAAGGGCAATAACTCTGTAATTAGTCAAGATAGAGTTATGGTTCTTGTGCACTGCACTTCCTCTCAATGTGCTTGACCATTGTATGTAGTTATATTGAATTCCAACCATTAGTCTTCAAGTTATGCTCCGGACAAGGAAAATGCAACGGAAGTCTGGACCTACCGACCACCGGGTGACTCCTATATACCCCCCCAAACTTCGTTTTTGGGGGTATAAAAACAGTTTGAGTGGATGGCTAAAAATAGCTTTCTGAGGAAATCAGAATTATAAAGAAGGCGAAACATATACAGGCAAAACATTTAGTCGTCCTCCGATCTACATAAAAATTCGTAGATCTTAACTTTAGTCAGTTTGTGCAAAGTCATGCTTTGTCCAGAGGCTATTGTATTAAGCAACCATTTTTTAATATTTCCCTTGAGTGGTCTCTTAATACAAGCTTGGCTGAAGCTATTGAAATCAGATTTCTTTTTTTAATTTTTTTTCTTTCTAGTCACACCAACATCCTAAAGCTATATTGGTGAAAGATGAACTAAGGTTCCCCGTTGTGCATTATTTCAGGCACAAGCAGGCACCACAGTAGAACCACCGTTCTTCCATAAGCTAACTGAAGTCGAAGTCCTGCAAACAACAGTATGAGTAACTATTGCATATAACAAGATTTTAATCTATGTGACTTGTTGGTCCAATTCTGCAAGCCTTAACTGTTTTTAGATTTAAAGATATCTAAATATGTTAATATTTACTCACATGACTTTTTATAAAAGAAATTCTTAATCTATTTTCATCACCACGCAACTCCAGCAGATCTGTAATGTCAATTGAATCCTTCATACCGGCCACAGAAAAGTTACCATTATCTTGTTTCTGAAACACCATAAAATTGTAACATTTTACCAACATCTTTTTTAAACAAAAGGGCCATAATGGCCCTGAAATCACTCACCTGAATATAGAAACTCTCCATGACAAGGAACAAATAATATTTTAAACTATAAATAAAAGCAGATATAAAATTTAAATCTTAAACTGATATTACAAAGTTCGTTTTTGTATCTGAAATAGTGCAAATGTAAAAACATTACTGGTTGCTATTGCTAAGGGAAAACAACAGTTCTAAAAGATGTGTACATATAAGGAAAATCAATGACCCCCTGGGCTTTTATTTGAACAAACTTGGTAGAAACTTACTAGAAGATGTTTTATGCTGAATATCTAAGCACTAGCTATTTGGGTTTTTTAAAGGAAAATTTCTTTTTTGTTTTTTCTATATACATATAAGGAAATCATTGACCCCCTGAGTGGGGCCAATTTTAACCCCAGGGCTTTTATTTGAACAAACATGGTAAACACTCACTATAAGATCAAGAAAACAAATGACCCCCTGGGGCATGAACAATTTAGTAGAGACCTACTAAATGATGTTACAAATCAAATATCTAAGCTCTAGCCCATGGGGTTTCAGAAAAGGGATTTTTTTAATGTTTTACTATATACAGAAGAAAATCCATGACTTCTCCACCATCCCTTTCCCCAGGGCAGTGCCAATACTCACAACAATTACTACAATCCTAGCTGGATTTTAAGTAACATTTGTAAGGAGCAAAAAGCATTTAAATTGAACTAAATGAATGTTTCTTAAATTAAAAAAAAAAATCAATGTCAAATTTATTTCAAATGTAGGTATGAAGACACTTAGGCCATTACAGCCTTAGAAAACAAATCTCAATTGTTAGCGTATACTGTATAAGTTTTCCAACAACAGCAGCGCATGTGATGTTAACGCTGGTTCCTTATGAGCAACGATTATTAATAACTTATTTTGACAAAATTTGCAAGTTCAAAAGGGGCATACCTCAAAAAATAAATCTTTCAGAATTATGCCCCTTGTCTAAAATCTGTCCTTTGTCATTATAATCAAGTATTCCAAGTTTCAAGTTTTAAAATGTTTGAATAATTGACTACAATAACGTTTTTTGCACGACAACAACAAAGACGCATCAATCATCAGATCTCAACTTTTTCCTAGGAAACAGACAAGCTATAAATAAAGTAACTGTTACAGTGGAAGATTTTGTATACTCTTTAAAAATGACACTTACCAGAACTGCTGGAGTCCGCCAATTTACTCTTACATTGACCCCTTCAGGAAGCCCAGGTTTAACCTCACCCTTATCTGTGACAATCCAGAATCTAAAAAATAAATTGTATAATTTTATACATTCTTTATATTTGTCTTATTTTCTATACTTGTCTAAATTTCTACACTTGTCTTACTTTCTACATTTGTCTAATTTTCTACATTTGTCTTATTTGCTGACAGGCAAAAACATGTCTGCAAGAATAATACACTAACAAGACTTGTCCATGGACAGAAACCTTGCTAAACTTTTCTCAGTCTTGGATAGTATGATAAAAGCAAAGAAGAAAAGGGGGCATAATTCTGCAAAAGTGCTTGGCAGAATTATCTCCTCTTTTGTAGGTAAGTAATTGTCTCATTCTGTGATGCTTTATGATAAAGTAAGCAAGATATTACAAGTCAAAATACAGGGAAAAATACTCTAAAGTGACATGTGTGAAGACAGACAAAACCCCAGGCATAAAAAAATGTGACAATTTTATAGAGTGGACATAACCCTGCACCTTTTGTTACTTATTTGTATAGACCTTTGATTGACAATAAAATAGTTAAATAATGAAAGTTTAGTAAATCTTTCCTGACATTAACTTTCACGATCAATGTCATTTGAATTGTATGGTAACATTAATAATTAGAAAGTGTGGGGTTATATCCACTCTATATTATTAAAGGTGTGGGGTTTTGTCCACTCTATAATATTTTGATGTGTGGGGTTTTGACATGTGGGGTTTTGTCCTACATTCGTCGCTCCCTTGTAAGTCTTTGATATACATGCATCACTATTTTCCACAATATTGTAACACATATATAGCATATAGGTTAATATGTAGATGAAAAATACTGCTGTCATCTTTAAGCAATAACAGAAACAACATTGGACACTGCCAGATTTTAATCATAGATAAATTCTATTTACTCCTTTTCCCTAAATAATTGATCTGGCAAAGAGAAATAAAACACATAAAAACCTTATTCAACACCTCACCTTAACTTCACTGCTATGTCATTCTTCTTACTTCTGTAAAGAAAAGAAATGTTTCTTTTATCTTTCATACCCAACTTCACAATAAAATAGTTCCTAAGACATAAAGACATAGTGCATGGGTAAATGTTGGAAATTTTTTAAAATCCTGAAATCCTGAATTAAGCAGTATTTCTATTGTTTTACATAGGAAAAACCGAAAAAGAATGCTTTCTGGAGCCTGAAAACCCTAAACTTTAGGAAAAATCCTTAACACATTTACCCATGATAGAGATAACGCTAACAAGAAATATTGTTCTCATTTTTTTTATGTTATGTAAAGTCATTGTGCTTCTAAAGTTATGTTTGTTTGTTCGTTTTGGGTTTTATGTCACATCGACACAGTATAGGTCATATTGCGACGTTCCAGCTTTACTGGTGGAGGAAGACCTTAGGTGCCCTTCCGTGCATTATTTCAGGCACGAACAGGCACCTGAGTAAAACCAGTGACGTTCCGTAAGCTAGCTGGATAGCTTCCTCACATGAAAGAATCCAAAGTCCCTGTCAGGATTCGCACCCACAGCGGTGAGGGGCAAGTGGTTTGAAGTCAACGACCTCAACCACGGACGCCCCCCCCCCCCCATAAAGTTATGTAAAGTTACTGTTCTTTAACACTGTATTTCCTTTAACTAGTTTCTAAAAGCATGTAAAGTTCCAATATGATATTATTGACATTTTAGAAGTTATACTCCTGATACACATTATTAAAATAATTTTAGTATCAAAGGGAGACAATAAAAAAATAAAGCAAGGTAGCATTATGGCTTTTGTGCACTACACTTCCTTCTGCTAATCCTTTAAAAATTTTCAAGTTATTCTATGGACAAGCATAATTAAATATAATTAAGGGAGATTAATCAAAACTAAAAAATGTAGAGTTATGGCCTTTTGACACTGCACTTCCCCTCACAATTCTTTACATTTGTGTGACAATTGAAACAGATATTGTTAAATGTTAAGTAGTAACATTCTAGAAAATTAAATAAGGCAGAATTAAGAAACTTCTCCAAACAAGCATTATTGAGCATTATAAAGAAAGATAATTTAAAAACTAAGCAATGTAGAATTATGGTTCTTTGACAATTAACTTCCTATTTCCGGTCTCTACAACAGTGTGTAGTTTCATTGATAGTTTAGTAGTTGCTTACCTTAAATTTTCCTTCAATTGTTTCAACACATCATCTTTCAAACTAAATAAGTAACTGTTATGAGTGTATTCATAGCTGCCAACTGAAAATATATACAGTAAAAACTTGCTAAATAGACCACTGAAGGGACTTTGCAAATCTGGTCTTAATAGCGGGTTGGTCTCTTTAATGAGTTTGGGCAAACTAAAAACCAGGCAATGCATTTTTTCTTTTAGACAAAGTTCTTTAAATTCTTTAAATTTTTAAACTTCTCTAAAGATACAAAATGTATTATGAATGTCTTTAAACACAAACTGATTTTTATATTCTAGTTAAAAGAATGACACAACTTACTCAATTAAAGACTGATGGAAATCACCAATTGACAACAAAACAAACCGACCAATTAACCTTTAATTATTTTCACAGTTTTCATCGCCGATAACAACTTCAAAACAAGAGGGCCATGATGGCCCTGAGTCGCTCACCAGAAATAACTGTTTTTCAGTGTTATTTTTCAAAGAACTTGCTGAAAGACCAGTCCAGCTCAACTTTTACTTGCCCTTCTAATTTTTGAAATATTTTGCCCTAATATTTTGGAGGCTTTGTTAGAAATATCTATGTTGCAAGTGTGTTCCCATGAGACTATGTAGAATAAAATAATGCAGAATAAACAGGTCTAGGATTTCATGATATTTACGGACAGTCTGTAAATTTTTGGTCGAGCCATAATTTTACAGATTTTTGTATCTGTAAATTTACAGACATTAAGTAAGACAAGAGGGCCATGATGGCCCTGAGGTCGCTCACCTGTATATAGGCTCCCCCCCCCACCCCCACCCCCCCAACGTTGCAGGGCCAATTTAACCCAAGGGCTTTTATTTGCACAAACTTGGTAGACACCCATAAGAAGATGTTTCATGCTAAACATCTAAGCTCTAGCTCATTGGGCTTTTTAAAAGAAGATTTTTTTTAAGTTTTTACTATACACATATAGTTAAAAACAATGACACACCTGGGGCCGGGCCAGGGCTTTTATTTGAACAAACTTTGTAGACACTTACTAGAAGATGTTTCATGCTTAATATCTAAACTCTAGCTATTTGGGTTTTTTCAAAGAAGATTTTAAGTTTTTGCTATACACATATAAAGAAAATCAATTACCCCCGGGGCGGGGCCAATTTTGACCCCAGGTCTTTTATTTGAACAAACTTTGTAGACATTCACTAGAAGATGTTTCATGCTTCATATCTTAACTCTAGCTATTTGGGTTTTTTCAAAGAAGATTTTTTAAGTTTTTACTATACACATATAAGGAAAATCAATGACCCCAGGGCTTTTATTTGAACAAACTTGGTAGACACCTATTAGAACATGTTTGATTCTAAATATCTTAGCCATAGCTTTTTGAGTTCTTTAAAAGAAGATTTTTTAAGTTTTTACTATATGCATATACGGAAAATCAATGACCCCCCGGGGCGGGGCCAATTTTGACCCCAGGGCTTTTATTTGAACAAACTTGGTAGACACTTATTAACACATGTTTCATGCTAAATATCTTAGCTCTAACTCTTTTGGTTCTTTAAAAGAAGATTTTTTAAGTTTTTACTATATGCATATAGGGAAAATCAATGACCTCCCGGGGCGGGGCCAATTTTGACCCCAGAGCTTTTATTTGAACAAAGTTGGTAGACACCCATTAGAACATATTTCATGCTAAATATCTTAGCTCTAGCTCTTTGGGTTCTTTAAAAGAAGATTTTTTAAGTTTTTACTATATGCATATAGGGAAAATCAATGACCCCCCGGGGCAGGGCCAATTTTGACCCCAGGGCTTTTATTTGAACAAACTTGGTAGACACTCATTAGAAGATGTTTCATGCCAAATATCTAAGCTCTAGCTCTTATGGTTTTTTAAAAGAAGATATTTAAAGTTTTTTCTTTCGGTTGCCATGGCAACCAGAGTTCTGCATGGAATTAAATTCTTTGAACAATTTTTAAAGGTGACCACCAAAGGAACATTCCTGTGAAGTTTGGATGAAATTGGCTTAGTGGTTTATGAGGAGATGTCATTTAAAGTAAAAGTTTACGGACGGACGGACGACGGACGGATGGACGAAAAGCGATCACAAAAGCTCACCCTGTCACTTTGTGACAGGTGAGCTAAAAATAGTAGAAGCTGCATTAAAATTCAAAACCACAAGTTTAAATGTAACAGTATGGTGAGATTCGAAACAATATGATGACTTTCAATTTTCACTTTTATTAAATATTTCAAAATCATCATACAAAGATGAAACTCACCACATTACCTTTGTAAATATAAACAATCAATAAAAAAAACTAGTCAGAAGCTGCGGATTTTAGTGTAAAATTAAAAACAGCAAATTTCACATTGAATATAGATTTGTAAATTTATGGATTGAAAAATCTTTAAATTTCTAGACTATCCCTGGGATATAAGATAATGTCCCAGACTATCCATAAATTTACGGACAGTCCATAAATATCATGAAATACTAGACCTGATAAATGACCACTACAGCAGGGTTAATTTTGATGGAACATTTTTTCTTTATAACTTTTGTAAATGAATACACAAAATGTCACATGCAAAATATGTAAGGTGTTTACAGTATGGGACAACAAACTTTATTTGAGGGCAAATATGAGCCCAATCGGTAAAATTATGGAGCTTTGGTAGCGTTTGTCAAGCGTAACACACTAGTTCCGATTTTCCGTCAACTCCCGTAACCAGTACCATACGGTACTAAAAAACTCTAAAGTTTGTGCATTCCGATGTGAATGATTTGTCTTTATTTTCAGTAATACAAACTGTGCAAGTCATTTTAACCCTTTACCTCATATATACGCGAAACAACGCACTTTCGACCCCCCCCCCCCCCTTTTTTTAGGCCTGAAATAGTGAAAAAATATCCTATTTGGGCCCAAACCACATCTTTTCGTTTCAGAAATGTTGCTAAAAAAGTGAGCATTTTTTCGGCGGCGCCCCCCATCCAAAAGATACATCAGGGGGGTGCCAGAAGGGGGATGTGCCCCCTTCTGTTTTGGGGGGGTTTGAAGGGGGCGGAGTCCCCCTCATCGCCAAGAAAATTTTGGACTTGTGAGAGGCTAAAAATGACCCCAGGTCAATCATAAGGTAACGTGTAACCAAAGCTGAAAAGCCTTTGACTCTATCTCAATCCCTTGAGGAGTTGCAGCACTTTAAAATAAATTTGATGTTAAAAATCGAGGCAAAATAGTGATTTTTGGCAATTTTGAGATGTCCCCTTGTTGCCATGGTAACATGAAATTTAAGACTGAGTATGTCGTTACAAAGGCAATGGTCCAGTCAACATTTGTGCCAAGTTTGATTAGTATTGAAGCATTTTTCATAGTTTCATAGCAGTTTGAACTTGTAACAGGAGGCTTTTCAGTGAAAACGGCCATTTTTCACAATATGCTCATGGGGGAAAGGGTTAATACCCAAAAATTCCTTACGAAAAAATCCCTTCGGAGCATTATCATTTTGCTTGGATTTCTCAGTTGTTTCAGCATTCGCCAATTGATTTGGTTGGGAAACCTTATTTGGTATAGGTGCAGAGTTGTTTACGGTAGATTCTGTCGCTCCATCAACATTAACATTGTCTTTATTGAAGAATGAAGTCAATCTTGGCTGCTTTTTTTCGAAGCAGACATTTGTGAATTTACCCGGATAATGATGTCACAATCTGAAGCACCTGAGCGCTTTTAACATGTAATAATCACTAAAGCGTCTAAGATAAATCATGTGACCGATCAGCTGATGAAATTCATGCTATTTATAGAAAAATATATATACTACAACGCTCGCAAAAATATGCGTCACGGAAAACACACGGCTATAATATTACCAAATCAAATTCAAAAGTACTGTGTCAAAAACGCAGAAAACGCTCTCTAGAGAAAACACTGCATGAAGTGATGTAATTAAGTGAATATGAATGAAACCAAATAAAGCTTGATACTAAGTTCTTATATAACTTGTATAATGTGCTTAAGTTATTTCATAAGAGGTCATGACCTCAAATAATTTCATCAGCAAACAGCTGGTCATTCACATGTATGAAAGAAATTCCAACATGAGTTGTTTCCCTTTCATTAAACTATAATTTGAAGAAATGCCATGGTCTGGGGTATCTTAGCTTTAGCAGTCCCTAAAAATGGCCAATCAAATAAATATGAGCATTTTGTATAAGAGATTACTATAAGAATGCTAATAACAAAGTTTGGTTATCTTCCATCAATAAGTTCTGTAGAAAAAGCTGTCTAAAGGTTTATATAATTTTTAGCTCCCTTGACCCCTAAAAGGGGCCTATCAAATTAATATGAGCAAATTTGATAAAAGACTACCAAAGAATGCTACAGACAAAGTTTGGTGATCATCCATCAATTGGTTCTGTAGAAGAAGATGTCTAAATGATTTTCTATTTTTAGGTCTAGAGACCCCTAAAAGGGGCCAATCAAATTAATATGAGCAAATTTGATAAAAGACTACCCAAGAATGCTACAGACAAAGTTTGGTGATCATCCATCAATTAGTTCTCTAGATATAGATGTTTAAAGTAATTTCTATTTTTAGCTTTAGCAGCCCCTAAAAGGGGCCAATCAAATTGATATGAGCAAACTTGATAAAAGACTACCCAAGAATGATACAGACAAAGTTTGGTGATCATCCATCAATTAGTTCTGTAGTAGAAGATGTTTAAAGGTTTTTCTATTTTTAGCTCTGTTAACCCCTAAAAGGGGCCAATTGAAATGGCTTGATCAAATTTAAGTGTGACTGTCACAAGGATGCTACAGACCAAATTTGAAGTAAATCTGTCCAGCCGTTTCAGAGAAGAAGACGATTGTTGACGCATGACTACGGATGCCAGAGTATCCCCCTTTGATACTAATAGCTCACCCTGAGCCTTCGGCTCTGGTGAGCTAAAAATAATAATTGCATCACGTTTATGTTTGTTTAAAGTTATGGTAGCGACAACACCTCTAAACAAGAGCTGTCGGTAGGACAGCAACGCTCGACTATTCTAAGTGCTTGATAGTAAAACAAGATTGCATTTG